ATACACACACACACACACACACACACAAACACACACACACACACACACACACAAACAGACAAACAAACAAACACACAACACACAACAAAGAGACTCACATCCCGTGTCTTTGAGCTGCTGTATGGCGTTGGACATGACCCGCACACAGCCCAGGAAGCCGGCCCCCTGCTTCTTGTGGATCTTCTTGTGGTTCCACACACTGATGGTGATCGAGTCTTTGTGGCCCACGTACCTATGAATAGAAATAAGAGGGGGGACATTTTTACTTTAAGTTTAGTTTTGCGGCACTTGCAACAAAGGTCATATAAGTGCAGACGATTAGAAATGTTAATAGAGAGCGGTTTGGTTTGGTTTTTATAAAGGGCTTACTAAGTGTTTTATGGCACTTCTGTATTAAAAAACGAAGACACCTTACGAAAAACGAGAAAAATAACTTCTATCCAAATGTATGTCGACATGGCAACTGCCGTTTAGAGATGGGAAACACCACGACAGACAGGGGAACGAATTGATAGACAGAAAGTTCAGTTTTAGTTTTAGTAAATGTTTTATGGCACTTACAACGCAATAAGGTAATGTAAGAACCGAAGATTAGGTGTTACACGTGAGTAACAAACACAAAAAAGGAGGGGAGATAAGGATGATAGATGTTTGATAGGAAAGAAGGGTCAAACCACATTAGAGCATCGTCCAACCACTCACAGACAGAAAGTAACAGACGGAGTGACAGGCAGAAGGATTGTAAAGAAGTAGGCCAACCTGAAACGGGAAAATAATGAAAAGACGCACGCAGGCTCCTGTACAAAAAAGGGGGAGACACACAACAAAGAAAGATAATAATAGTAATTAATTATCAAAACGAGCGCATTCCACACAGATGCCACAGTGCAACAGACGATTATGCAATATGCACACACCGAAAAAGAAACCTCCCAACGACTGAAAACGGACTGCCTCACAAGATGGACGGGAGATTTATATACCGAGCGAACTGTGCGCTTGATGAATCCGAGCCTAAATGTAGGTCTACACTTGTTCGAATAGTACACTTGTTCGAATAATTGGGCCTGCGTGATCGGAGGTCCCATCGACCAGTCTATACTGATTTTCAACAAAAATAACGTTTACTTTACTGTAAATGTGTTACGGCACTTATTGCAAAACAATACGGTCAAATTAGTGCGGAAGATTAGAGGCGTTACTAATGACCAAAATAATCTGAAACGAAGAATCGGATTATATCAGAACGAAATATATTTAACAAGAAAAAAACAGCAAACCTCACCAGAGAAACAGCCAACCACACACGAATAAAATCTTAACTAAGTGTTCTGACTACCGTGCCTTCGAACACTTGACATTCTCTCAACCCTCATCACAATATAGCTTTGTCACACATCATTGAATAATAAAAACAAAAGGACGTAGATAGCAACAGATTGAGTCAGCACTTTCTTGAAAACACGACCAATGCGACGCTCGGAGGGAGCAAACAAACAAACAAAAAACATAGACAAGTTAGTTTTAGCTTTAGTACAAGTTTTACGGCGCTCGCAACTGCATTAGGTCATATGAGTGTCAGAAGATTAGAGGTGTAACAAGAGAGTAACAAACATGAAAAAGAAGGAGGGGAGATAAGGACGCCAGATGTTTGATAGGAAAGAAGAAGCAAACCACACCAGAGCACCCGCCAACCACCTACAAACATAGACAAGAAAATGGCTTGATTTGCAGAAATCAGAGAAGGTACGGCACAGCTGACCTCACACAAAAACACACAAAAGTCTAGAAAAACAACATTTTTTTCCATTAAAATCGAAGGTAATCGTACAGATGTCAGTCATACTTAATACATGTTGGTCCAAAAAGAGAGACAGATGAGAAGGGGAAAAAAAAAAAACAAACAAACAAACAAAACAAAAAACATTAACACAAAAAAGCGGGGCAACCACCATATTGAGGAACAAAGAAGAACAGGTCATTGCACTGATGACACCCTCTTGCCCTTCAGCCTTCAGCTCTCCAGAGATTAAAAATCAACAGCGGCGCTTGACAGACACGAGAGACATAACGGCGACAGAGCGGGACATTGTGTGCCAGGTCAAGATGGGAAATAACGCGTCAGCAAGCGAGGTTTCTTTTTATTGTTATTATTTTATTATTTAATGTTAAACATTGTTTGGGTTTGGGGTTTTTTTTTCATGGGGATGGGGGTGTGGGGGTCCGTTTACACACACTCTCTCTCTCTCTCTCTCTCTCTCTATCTCGCTCTCTCTCTTGTTGTTGTTTTTTGTAAGAGTTTAAAGACATTTGCAACATAATTACGTCACATAAGTGCTGAAGATCAGAGGTGTTTTGACACAGCAAAAAAAAAAGAGAGAGAGAGAGAGAGAGAGAGAGAGAGAGAGAGAGAGAGAGAGAGAGATAAGGACTATAGATGTCTGACAGGAAAGAAGCCATTCACCCCAAATTAAAACTTTTAAAATATCTGATATAGTCCATCTATACGGGAATCGAACTCAAGTCTGCTGCATGCTTCGGGAGAAGCGCTACACCACAGATCCCAGTCGGCCTACTTTTCGAGTAAAGACGATTGCGTCAACAAAATAACTCCATATTACAGTGTAAGGAAGAAGCAAGACACAGACAGAAACAGTAGAAGGAAAGAAGAGAGGGACGGGGGCGGCGGGGAAGGACCAACCAGTGGCGCCCCCCACCGACCACCGGCGAGAGCCTTCTTTCACAGCACCTTATTATGATCAAAGAGGGGTGATCAAAATGGTACTGTCTGGCTGGCCGTGGGGAGGGAGGGTGGCAGAGAGAGAGAGAGAGAGAGAGAG